TCCCAGGGCACATCCCAGGGCAGGAACAGGTCCTGGAGCAGCTCTCACCTCTCGGGGCAGTTCCGGCAGGAAGTTCTCGTCCACGGCCAGGGTGCGCAGGTTGTGCAGGTACCCGATGGTGGAGGGCAGCGACTCCAGCTCGTTGCAGCTGCAGTCAAATTCCTCCAGCAGGGACAGGCTGGAACAGCAAACCCCTCGTTAGCAGCCCTGCAGGGACTGCATCCCCAAACCATCAACCCCAAACCTCTGGGGGCTTCACCAGCTCCAGGCTCCACCAGCTCCGAGAGGGAACAGCCATGGGAGATCTGCTGGGGCTGCCCTGGATCCCTGGAAGGGTCCCAGGCCAGGCTGGAGCAGCCTGTGGCAGTGGAAGGTGTCCCTGGTGGCACTGGATGGGCTTTGAGGGCCGTCCCAACCCAAGTCATTCCATCATTTCCCTGGCAGGAGTCTGTAACAATGGGATTTTTGGAACCCACTTTAAGGCCGCTTGGATTGCCCATGCCACCATTCATATTTTCTGGGATATTGAATAACATGGATTCCAAGGACTTCAGACAGAGATCAGGGCACCCAAAGCCATTGAACCAAGAATTTAATGTTTGTTAACCCAAGTAACAGGTTTAAGGTTGAAGGTCTGGGATCTGGGTCTCCAGACACCACTGATGGGGAGTGGGAATATATTCCAGTGGGAATATATGGATGTACTGCACATTACAGAGTGAGCTATACAAATATACACGTTAAATATACAGGTTATGGACATACATTAAAATATTCTGAAGAAATATTTCCTAATCTTCTTCTAAAATGAGACTGCAAATTAAAATCCTTCCAGTGTAAGTTGTGTGAGCACCACCCAGCTCCTCTCCCCCTTTGCTCCTCGCGTTCCACCTCTTACTCTCAAGTACTTTAATCAGAATAAAGTTAAATAACAGTCAATTATTTCTTCCTAAAATCTCCCATCTCCCTGTCCACTGCCTTAGGACTTGTCAGAGGATTCTCTGTTTTTTCCCCAAATATTTTGGAGGATCTGTTAAGAAGTTTGGCTCTGACCACCCCTTCCACAGACCTTGATCTGGAGGATTCACAGGAGCCTCAGCTGCAGGACTGGGTCTCCACTCTGTATCTAATTCAACTTTATTTCAGTTTCTTAATTAAAAAAAATCTTTCAGCCTTCAGATTTGATGCCAAATGAAAGCAGAGACTGCTGCTGCTCCCAGGGAACCCTCAGAAGCCACCAACCCTCAGCAGAAGGAGGCAGAGCCATGCGAGACCCCACAGCAGAGAGCCTCCCATGATCCCGGCCCCTGGAATCCTCCTGGCTTTCCCACAGAGTTTCTGTCGTATTTTAGGAGCTCTCCATCCCTGTGAGGCCACAGCCAGATCCTTGTGAGCTCCTGGCTGTTGCCATGGCAACGGATGGATTTCCCCCAAATTCTTCTGCTTTCACTTCTCCGCTCATCCAGATTTGATTCACACCCAAACCTTTGGTTTTCCTCTTGGAAAATTGGATATATTTCACCTCCTTCCCCCTTGCACTGAAAAATCCCCAGGATTAAAAGTGATGCTCCAAATTAAAATGTTACAGCCTGGGGGTTGGAAATTATTTCATAATTCAAAGGATGTTTGTCTTCTTTTCTATTTGAAAGCCCACACTCCTTGAGCAGAAGGGAAAAGGTATTTTAATGAAAATAAGGATGAAACTTGGACTCACTTTCCGATGGCATTGGGCAGGATGGTGAGCTGGTTGTCATCCACTTTCAGGGTTGTCAGTCTCTTCAACAATCCTGCAGGAAGAAATGATGGATAAAGAGCTCCCATGGAGATCTCCTGGAATCCCATAAGCAATGGCTTGCAACCCTGAGCAGCTCTGAATTTCAGGGAGTATCATTCCAAATGGGTTTGTTCCTGCTAAATGCCCTCTAAAAACCAATCTGGGCAGAAAATAATGGAACAAAAATCCTGGGATTGATGGGGAGATGTAAAAGAACAAGATGGAAAACAGGAGGAGAAGGCACCCAGTGAGAGTGTCAATTATTAGCAGCATTAATTAGCAATCCGTGTTGGAATGTGACTAAATTGATTTAAAATTGAGGAATCTTGCAATTCTGTGTTCAAAGGGAAAGGGGCTCAGGACTGAAAGGAAATATCCCAATGGTCAGAGAGATGTGATCCTAAATAATCCAGGAATTCCATGCATGTATAACAGTCAAAATAAAAAGAAAATTAATAGTTTGAATTATTTTCTTTTTATTTCCTCTTCCCACTGTGAATGAGCAGCAATCCCATCATCGCTCTCAGACTGATTTTTACATTTCAATGAAATTAATTCTGTCCTCCTTGGCTTCTTTTCCTCAAAACAGCAAACCAGGTGGACCAATCCCTTCCAGCCAGGGAATTCTGCTCCTGACTTTACAAAATGGGACTGTCCAGACACCCTTTGGGATTTAATGGCAGGCCTTGCTCCATGATTAAAAAATCACGATTCCAAAAATAAAAATAAAATTTAAAAAATATTGAAAAAATATTTAAAAAAATCTACCAAATGGAGAGGAACGCCAGGTGTTTCCTCACCTATGGAATCTGGCAGCTGCTGCAGCATGTTGGAGGAGAGGAGGAGATCCTCCAGCCCCTCACAGCCCGAGATGTCCAGGTCGACCGTCTCGATCCTGTTTTTGGACACATCCAGGTACACGAGCTGTTTTAACTTCCCTATAGACTTAATAGCACGTGAGACAGAGTTACTTGAGCAGATAGAGCTGTTAATTAGAGCGTTAATTAGAGACAAACACACAAATCCGGCTGAGCTGGAGTTATCTCAGCACCCTTCGGATCCGGCAGGGCCAGGGTGGGCTCAGCCTCAAAGGAACAAAATTAACCCCCCCCCAGGTTAATTAATGTGCTCCAAATTAATCAGATTTGCTGGGATTTGGCATTCCAGGGCATGCAGCTGAGGTGCTTCTCCATCTGGACACAGATCCAAGGGATATTCCCAATTCCCACCTTCCACCAGGCAGGTGGAGCTTTTCTGTGTTGAACCATCCCAAAACTTTTATAATTAATGAATGAATTAATTAATGCCTCTCTGCACCCACCCAAGGAAATGCACAGGCAGGTGCTCCCTGCCAGGCAAACAGAGGAATCACCAAATCACCCAATAATTCCCTAAAATAAATGTCCATACCCCAGGTAGCACTTGCAAGGAATTATTGTCCATCCACAACTCCTTCAGATTCTGGATTTGTTCAAGAACCTCAGGCTGAGGAAAAGAGTAAACAATTATGGGCAGCTAAGTGAAGCAATGCGTTTTTAGTTAAATAAAAATCAACTTTTTCTTAAGAAAATAAAGCTTCCCTCTTCACTTCCCTTTGGTTTTCATACCCCACCTCAGCCTTCCAGGTGTTCAAGGATAAGAAGAGAACATTCCCTTGGTGTCATTTAACCACTGCTGCTCTTTATCAAAACTCGTAAAATTTAAGAACCTTTTGCAAAAGAAATGAGCCCAAAGGACACATCCTGGGGAGATTTAACATCTGCAGCTGGCACGGGCAGGAGTCAGAATGCACAGGAGAAAATGGGCACTGATAAAACCTGGAATTGCAGAATCAAACTTTCGTCTGTTTTGTTCTTTTCAGGGTATCAGTGAGAGGAGCTAAAAAAGGCAATTTCCCAGATCCCTCCTCACAGCTGTGAAATCCCAGAATTACAAATCCAGGCCGCAAACACTCCCAGGTTTCCTCAGCAGTGTTTTCCTTTCCCATAAAACATTTCCCACAGCAAACCAACACTTGGAATTTGCCTTTGCCCTCCCAGGTTGTAGAGATTTTTTTCCAAAGCCTGTCAGAACCTGGTATTAAACGTTCCGTGAAATATTCCACTGAAGATTCCATCCCAAACCAGCCTTTGGAAGCAGAACAATTGCCCTGGAATGATTCCAACACAGGCAGGAGCAAATGGACCTGCAGACCCCAGGAGAGACCTGGAGTTTGGAATGCTGCCATTCCCAGAATAAATCTGATTTTCCACGTGCCCAGGGCATGGTGGGAGAAGCTGCTGATGCCTCAGCAGATGAGAACAAAGCTGATGAGCAGGAGAACTCACCCCGTGTTTGCCACATCTCCACCTAATGAGCTCCTATTAAAAACTAGTGGTGAGCATTTTAAAGATGATTTATTTTGCCTCTGTTAATTCCATTGAAATTCTGCTGTCCTTCGATGATTAAAACCACTTCTCATTTCCAGGCTGAATTGATTAATGGGCATTTGATACTATTTGTTCCTGGGCTGATTAATGTTTCTTTATCCCTCTGGAGTGTTCGCGGGCTGAGGTCATTATGGATAATCATAATTTCCCCTCTCAACTTTAATTTGCTTTTCAATCCCTCTCATTAGCAGGCACCTTTCTTCAAGGCCTGCTCCTGGCCTGTGCAGAGCTCACTCTGATGGGGGGAATTCCTTGGATTGTGATTTCCCAGGATGATGGAATTTCCCATTGTTGTGGAGCACCATGGGATATTCCACATGATGGCACAGCATGATCCTGACAGGATCTGGTGGGTGGGTTGGAATCAAAGTGCCATTAAAACCTTGTTTGTCTGTGTTAGAAATGCTTTGGTTTGGGGCTGGGTGGGGAATGTTCTCATTTTCCACAGAGGTTGCTACAATTGGAATAGAGCGGAATGGGAATAGGACAGAAAAGGAAAAGGAAGAGGACAGAAAAGGAATGGGAATAGGAATAGAATGAAATATAATAGAACAGAATAGAATAGAATAGCACCAGGAATAGAATAGAGTAGAGTAGAGTAGAGTAGAATAGAATAGAATAGAATAGAATAGAATAGAATAGAATAGAATAGAATAGAATAGAATAGAAACAGGAATAGAATAGAATAGCAACAGGAATAGGAATAGGAATAGGAATAGGAATAGGAATAGAATAGATTAGAATAGAATAGAATAGAATAGAATAGAATAGAATAGAATAGAATAGAATAGCAACAGGAATAGGAATAGGAATAGGAATAGGAATAGGAATAGGAATAGAATAGGATAGAACAGAATAGAATAGCAACAGGAATAGGAATAGGAATAGGAATAGAATAGAATAGAATAGAATAGAATAGAATAGAATAGAATAGAATAGCACCAGGAATAAAATAGGAACAGGAATAGGAATAGGAACAGAAGGGAACCAGCTGGAAGGGTTTTACATTGATCACCCAGTCCAGCTCCCTGACCAATTCAGTCTGAGCAAACCATAAAGGATATTAGTCAGGGAATTATCCAAATGTCCCTTTCCAGGAGCCTGTTCCAAGGTCTGATCACAGAAAAGCTCCCTGGGATCGAGTCTGAATGGAAGACTCACAGGAATTTTTGGAGGAAGTCACATTCTATTCTATTCTATTCTATTCTATTCTATTCTATTCTATTCTATTCTATTCTATTCTATTCTATTCTATTCTATTCTATTCTNATATGATATATAAATTATATCTATTATAATGAAGAAACTTGTAACTACTCCTAAGCTATAACCAACAATTTACTCCTTTAAAATCTCACAGTCTCTGAGATTAATGCTTATCTAAACAATAAATCATTCTTAATTAAAAATAAACCCACCCCTCCACTAAAAACAATAATAATTTATGGTGCATCGTGTGAGGGATCAAGGCAGGGCTGGAATTTACTTTTGAGAACTTTTTGTCCACTTAAACCCCACTTAACTGAAATAATCCTGGGCAGAAGGGACTCAATATCCTGCTGGCACAGTAAAGCCCAAAACATTTAATTCTGGACAGACCATGAGAGGAAAATATTTTCCTGAGGGTATTTCCAACACTTCAGTAGAAATGCTAAAAACCTTCAGTAGAATTTATTTTATAAATGATAAACAAAAAACAGCTCATCACAGATATATCACCACTGCATTGCTACCAATCCAGATATTTGGCACTTCTGGAAATTCCAGGTGAATCATTGGAAAGACCCTAGCACTTACTTTGGTAGAGTTTTCAAGTGGTTTTCTCTTAACTCCAAAATTCGCAATTTGACAAGTCTGGAAATAGGAGAGAAAATAATTAATGCATTTGAAGAGTCCATTAGAATAGCTTGAAATTATTTCTTCTTATTTTAAGAAGAAGTGGGATTTTATGTTTTTATGCAAAAAAATCAAAGTCCAGTTTTTGTGGGGGAAAAATCAGAGCCAAATAATTTCACATAATGTCTGCCCTGATCTGAATTCTCCTGAAAAGCTCTGGCATTGATCAGGTTTCCCAGCAATTTTAAATTAATTTTATTAGTGCTTCCAACAAGGCAAACACAGGAAAAGCTGGGAAGTTTGGAAGAAACAAACAAACAAAAAAAAAACAACAACAAGAAAAAAACAAGAGCAAGGTTTGTAAGTGTAAGGTCCCAAATAGATGAGACAGGAGGGAAAAAACAACAATAACAAAGGAATTAGAGTCACTGAGTTGATATAAAATAATAATAATAATAATAATAATAATAATAATAATAATAATA